ACAAAAATAAATAAATGGGACCTGATCAAATTAAAAAGCTTCTGCACAGCCAAGGAAACTATCACAAGAGCAAACAGACAACCTATGCAATGGGAGAAAATACTGGCATGCTACACATCTGATAAAGGGCTGATAACTAGAATCTATATAGAACTCAGGAAAATCAGCAAGAAAAAAATCAAATCAAACAACCCAATCAAAAAGTGAGCAAAGGACATGAACAGAAACTTTTCATAAGAAGATAGACTAATGGCCAACAAACATATGAAAAACTGCTCAACATCTCTAATCATCAGGGAAATGCAAATCAAAACCACAATGAGATGACACTTAACTCCAGTGAAAATGGCCTTCATCAAAAAGTCCCAAAACAATAAATGTTGACGTGGATGTGGAGAAATAGGAACACTCATACACTGCTGGTGAGACTGCAAACTAGGACAACCTCTGTGGAAAGTAATATGGAGATACCTCAAAGAGCTACAAGGAGAACTACCATTTGATCCAGCAATCCCATTACTGGACATCTACCCAAAGGAAAAAAAGGCATTCTATAAAAAAGACACCTGCACTAAAATGTTTGTAGCAGCACAATTCACAATTGCAAAGATGTGGAAACAACCCAAATGCCCATCAATACATGAGTGGATTAGTAACATGTGGTATATGTATACCATAGAATTCTACTCAGCCACAAAAAACAATGGTGATCTGGCACCTCTTGTATTATCCTAGGTAGAGCTGGAGCCCATTCTACTAAGTGAAGTATCATAATGGAAAAACAAGCACATGTACTCACCATCAAATTGGTATTAACTGGTCAACGCTTTTGTGCACATATAGTAGTAACGTTCGTTGGGTGTTGGGCAGGTGGAAGCAGGGAGGAGGGGATGGATATATTCACACCTAAAGGATGTGGTATGCACCATCTAGGGGATGGACATACTTGAAGCTCTGACTTGGGCAGGGCAAAGGCAATATATGTAACCTAAACATTTGTACCCCCATAACATGCTTAAATTTTTTAAAAAAGAATAAAATCAGAAAAAAAAGAACATATGACAGAATACATCAAGTATTTATTTTACTTAAGTAAAACAAAAGACCTAAGCATTTCAGCCAAAATTTCCTTAAAATCTGAATAAATTATACTTGGTTATCAGAGGTGTTAAAAATCTCAATTAAGCTTACAAATAAAATAAAATACCTGCATCATCATACGTCTTCTAACTGTGTCAAAGGGATAAGAAAGTATTCCAGAGCATGTAGTCACAACTTGAGCAATGAAAAAGGAGACAAGAAATGGGGTTTCCCTTGGTCTTGGCAGTAAGCCCTGGAAAAGAAAAATGTATCAAGTAACCATCCAAATCTGTAAAATATCTTAAATCCTTAAGTCAAAGATAATTTTTATGAATTTATGAAAGAGAACACAATTATACTTAAAATGCAATAAAAACAGTTGGATTTAATAGTAGATCAACAAAAAAAGGGGACTGCCACACATGACTATACCTCAAAGCCATATTTGAAAAAATAAAACATATTTGCTATTATAAGGGATTTGTTACTAACGGTACCTAAAACTAGGGAAGATAGCAGCCACTAACTAAAAAAACGTCTATGGTTCTTACCTGCAGAACAAAAAAAAGTGAAAGAATACCCATTATCAACAGATGATATTAGATGAGCAGCTTTAAAGCTCCAAGCTAGTGAAGAAAGACTCCAAAATTTCAAAACTACTGTAGGTGATAATAGAGAAAGGCAG